TTTTTCTTGACAACGACATAGCAGTATATATTTGTTACACACGCTTGTATACTCCTCAGTAGCCATTTTGATATTTTGTACAGATAAGTTGATTAAATATTTTATGGATAAAACTGCTCCTGACTGGTCTTTGGAGAACGGCTTTTTTGGGGCTTGTTATTCTGTGTCAGATGCTCAGCCCGGAGGACAGTGTCAACCATGCAGGCGCCGGACGACTGCATGAAAGCCGGGCCACCCGGGAGCTCTGAGTCCACCAGTCCTCACGCTGGTCATTCCCCCTCCAAGCAGCTCAGGCTGCGGCTGCTGCTCCCTGGGTCCTGTGACTTGTGTGACGCCGGGTAGGACCTGACACAGCCCCACACTCTACGTGCCACTGCAGGGTTCAGGGGGGAGGGGTTGACACGCAGTGAAGGTTTTCTCTTTGGAAAGTGAAGCGGTCACCTGAAAGGAGGAGGTGCTGCCACTGCCAGCAGCTGGTGTGCGTGTCTGTGTGCGCGTGTGTGTGCGTGTGTGTCTGTGTGTGCATGTGTGTGGTGCAGAGCTGCTCCGAGTGCACACAGCCTGCTGCCCTGGGACCTGTCTCAGTTCAGAGCGGGAGCGCCCTCCGCAGGCTGTACAGTTATGCCTCTGAGATCCGAAGCCCGAGGCCCAGCCGTGGCCACCTCCTCTGCAAGGCCGACGGTGGGGCTTAGGGACACCAGCAGGCCCTGCAGCTTCGGCAGGGTCCTTTCGCTCAGCACTCTTCCAGACAAGTACAAGGATCCACGCCCGGGGACACGGCCTGGATCCTGCGGCATCGCTCCCAGACCAGGCAGCAGAGGACCCTCCACACAGCTTGCCGCCGCCATTGGCCCACAGTGACTTTTCCTACAGGTGACAGGAGAGCTTTCATCTGTTCCGTACGCATTTCTGGGAGAGGGTTAGTGACAGAGCAGCGGTTGTGGGAAGGTGACAGTTCTTGCCCTCACAAGGACCTGCCACCAGGATGGCTCCTGCGGGATGTGGGTGGGGCCTGTGTGACCCAGCACTTGGCAGAGTGATGGCAGCATGTGCCCATCCTGTGTGCTCCAGTGTCCCCGAGGGCTAATGCCAGTCCCTGCGGCCACATGTCTTTCTCTGGAGAAAAGCTCAACGGATCTGCTCCCTTTTTGTTCCTTCATTTCATTACTACTAATTAAAGGAGTCTCTTTGGGATAAAAAGTATGTTCCCCTTTAACCAGCTCATAGGTAGGAACGATAATTGTATAAGCTCTATGACCCTGCCATCAAAAAGTATAGTCTTGCCCGGCAGGCGTGGCTCAGTGTTTGAGCATCAACCTATGAACCAGGAGGTCAAAGTTAAATTCCCGGTCAGGGCACATGCCCTGGTTGTGGGCTTGAATCCTAGTGTGGGGCGTGCAGGAGGCAGCAGATCACTGATTCTCTCTCATCAGTGATGTTTCTTCCTCTCTGAAATCAATAAAAATATATTTTTAAAAAAGTGTAGTCTTGTCATGCTTTGCTTATAACAACCATTGGTCAGCTCTTCGTTTTCTTATTTTCCAATCTCTACTTGACCCAGCTGGCATTCTGTGGTAAGAGGGAGACAAAGGAAAGTCGGGTGGGGGGCATTTACAACATCACCCTACTTCCCAAACACGGATGGAGCGCGTCTGAAAGGCCCTGCGATGCCTGATGTGGAGACTGGCTTCTCACCCCCACCCTCTCCCCTTTTCGCCTGAGGCCTGATCACTTCCAAGGAGGTGGGGGCACAGATGAGCACCGCTGAGGACAGGGTTGCCTGCCCGGGTCACGGATGCGCCTGCTCCTGTGTCCGGGAATGCCACCTACTCTCTGCTCAGGAGGCACGGTGATGGGGAGAAACCCGTCCACTGCGACGTGTCACCAGCACGGAGCCACCGGGAGCCTGTGGGCATCTGCTGAGCCCTAATCACATGCAGGTGCGAGGCGTCAGCAGTGGCCACAGAGGAGGCCCAGATGCTCCCGGCCAGCGGGGAGATTTGCATAGGCAGATCCCAGTCCCTCCATGAGGGAGGGAGCCCTGCAGGTGCACCCGCACCCCTGGCTGCGATGGACGCCCAGTCACAGGGTCACATTCCCCTTCCCGGGAAGAGGAATTTTCCCAGGGACTTACCCAGCAAGGAAGGCTGTCCGGGAGTGGGGAGGTCAGCGCAGGCCCCTCGGCCACAATGTCTGAGGAATGCACCAGAAAATGAAAACACAGGGTGTCCCAGAGCACAGTCTCCTGTATTGTGGATGTAATTCACACTTGGGGGGCTGCCTGGGGTTAGTGCTCAACAAACAATAACCACATATTTGGTAGTTGCTAATCCCCAGACACCACAGCTTTTCTAATCTTCCATGGGAGAATGGAAGCAACAGTTGCAGCCCGAGGGGGACAAGAATGGGCCATGAGATATAGTGACCTTGCTTTCCTGTCACTCCCCCGCCCCAGCCCAAACCTGTGACTGACCCTCGAATCCTCCGTCCGCAGGCACACTTTCTCCAAATGCACTGTCCGAGGCGTTTCCCTCCCCCTGAAAATGG